AAACCCGCTTTAATGATCTTGAGTATATGCGACTGTGCGCACTCAGATTTGAGTGCGACACTGCGCTCTTTATCCGAGAAGCTCGCTTTGATGATCTTGAGTATGTGCGACAGTGCACATTTTATCTGTAAACTTGGCATGACGATTTTGAGCATGTGCAACAGTATGCACTCAATTTGAAAACTCAGCATTGATCATTCCGAGCAAGTGTGACTGTGCACACTCGAACTTGAGTGTGACACTGCACGATCAATATGCAAAAACTCGACTTTGATGATTTTGAGTTTGTGCGACAGTGCGCACTCAATCTATAGACCTTTGCTGAAGTCAGTACACTCAAGAGTGCCCAATCTGCGTACACTGCTTCTGATGATTCTGAGTGCGCGCCTAGGCTCAAGCAAGTCGTCTGAGTGCACGCCCAGGCCCATGCAAGGCCTCTGAGTGCGCGCCTAGGCTCAGGCAAGTCGTCTAAGTGTGCGCCTAGGCTCAAGGAAGTCGTTTGAGTGCGCGCCCAGGCCCAGGCAAGGGTTTGAGTGCGCGCCCAGTCTCAGTTTGGCTGTTTGAGTGCGCGCCCAGGGTCAGGCAAGTCATTTGAGTGCGCGCCCAGCCTCAGTTTGGCTGTTTGAGTGCGCGCCCGGCCTTAGTCTGGCTGTTTGAGTGCGCGCCCAGCCTCAGTTTGGCTGTTTGAGTGCGCCCCCAGCCTTAGTTTGGTTGTTTACGTGCGCGCCTAGTCTCAGTTTGACTGTTTGAATGCGCGCCCAAGATTTATATGGTTATTTGATTGCGCGCCCATGCGCGCCCATGCTCAATATTGCTTTCAGAGTATGCGCCCGTGCGCGCTCAAGATTGATAGAGACTTTTGAGTGCGCGCCTGTGCGCGCCCAAGCTTGAGAGTATTATTCAAGTGCGCAAGTGCGCGCCCGTGCACGCCCAAACTTGATAGAGACTTTTGAGTGAGTGCCCGTGCGCGCCCAAGCTTGAGAGTATTATTCAAGTGCGCGCCCATGCGCGCCCAGGCTTGGCATTGCAGAGAGAGTGCGTGCCCATTTGCGTCCGAGCTGGGTATAGCCATTTGAGTGCGCGCCCATGCGCGCCCAAGCTAAGTATTGTCATTTGAGTATGCGCTTACGTGCGCCCATGATCAGTATTGCTATTTGAGTGCGCGCCCATGCGCGCCTATGCTCGGCATTGCGATTTGAGTGTGCGCCCATGTTCGCCCAAGCTTCGAACTGCGATTTGAGTGCGCGCCCATGCGCGCCCAAGCTTGGAACTGCGATTTGAGTGCGCGCCCATGCGCGCCCAAGCTTGGAACTGTGATTTGAGTGTGCGCCTATGCGCGCCCAAGCTTAGTATTGCTTTTGAGTGTGCGCCCATGCGCGCCCACGCTTGGTATTGACACATGAGTGCGCCCAGGCTCGAGTAGGCTATACGAGTGAGTGCTCTGATGATTTTGGAACGCACGCCACGCCAGTATGATGGTCAGGGACGCATGTCCAGCGAGTGTGATTAGTCTTGAGGACGTGACTGGATGCCTCTGATGGTATGACTAGCCCCAAGACCCCGCTGATTTGATTTCTTGCAGATCAGTCTCTGCATGGACGATATCCATATCTAACCCCGTGCAGACGGTATTTTTCCTGCACAAATGATATAAGTGCAGTCCGGTTTGCACGCGCAGTATTTTGCAACTGACCTCTGCATAGATAATATCTTGATGATCAGTCTATCTCAGTGACGATACTTGCAGTTCAGTCTTCATATTCTAGTCCACTCGTTGCAGAGATGTTCGTATGAGTTGTTGAGTTGTTGTTCAGCGGGGCCCATTCAGGCGAGCCCCTATATTAAATGTTGCTGATCAGCCGGGCCCATTCAGGCGGCCCCCCATATCCAGTTATCGCTGTTCAGCCGGGCCCATTCAGGCAGGCCCCAATATTGAGTTATTGCTGATCAACCAGGCCCATTCAGGCGGGCCCCTATATCGAGTTGTCGCTGTTCAACCGGGACCATTCAGTCGGGCCCCTATAACGATTTGTTGTTGTTCAGCTGGGCCCATTCAGGTGGGCCTCTATATCGAGTTGATTGTTGTTCAGTCGGGCCCATTCAGGCGGGCCCCTATATCGGGTTGATTGCCACCTGTTTGGCTAGAGGGTCTATTGAGGTGTTGTCCTCTTTTATCCTATCGAGTTGGGCTATTGATATCCCCCTCATCTTCAGGACATCATTGCTTGGCATAGTAGCTTGCGAGCGGCATTCTATATTATTTTGCAGATTGGTCAAGCAGGCTTCTCAACGTGAGATAACCCCTGCTTGAGGTAAGCTGGTTGAGAAGTTCTGCTATCGACACATTGGGCATCAGAGCTTCGTCATTCAGTCCAATGAGTCTCCCACATCGAGGTACACATTGGTGATCACTTTTCACGTGAGAGATGCTGGGCAGGGAGTGAAGGGAACCACCTATGATCGGATCGCTGACTATATTTTCCGCAGGGAGAGTTACTGGAGGGAACACTAGTTACATGTGGCGTTTCCCCAAATCCCCTTTGCACCAAGTGGTGCCCTCTATGACTTTGACGGCTGTAATCCTAAACCTCTGAGCAGAGGTGGTAGCAAGGAAAAGAGGCGTCAAGAAAGGAGTATCAGGAGCGCGGTGGCCAGATCCAGGATACCTATTACCACCTGTCTACAGAGGTCAGAGACGGACGAGGTAGGCCAAGAGCCTTGCTGCGTGAGCGATGTTGACCTTGGGACTATTTTGACTGGGATACTTCCAGGGACTGAGTACGCTTGAGTTTGGAGCACGCCCAGAGCATCTTATGACATTGGTCACTAGAGCGAGACACAGGCGGAAAGCAGCCTTACGACGGGTTGCTTATCTTTTGGCACGATACTTGCTTGAGGGTGATTAACCCAAGCATTACATGTCAGGAGGACCCAGGTCAGAGGAGGTAGTCGGCCCTTCAATGGGGAAGGGACCAGTCCCATATCTTGGGGATGGCTACAACCATTTGGTGGGAACAGATTTCGTCTTACAGGCTTTTCGGAAGTCTCTCTATGGAAACCGTTTTCTGGAGGTTTCATATGATTACATCTACGGCAACGGATGGATCGAGATCTTGATCGGTGCCACTGGCAGCATTTCCCTTGCTGAGGAGTTGTACCCTTGGAGTGTTGCGGACGAGGAGATGGCTAGATATATGGCATATTTCAGCAAGATCGATCCTACGACATCCTTTGACATTAGCTATGTGGTCCCAGAGTCGATGGCCATTCAGGTTCTCAATGACCAGGAGGACCAGCGTGTACCAGATACGGAGTCCCAGACAGTCGAGCCCACTCATGAGGGGGTACCACTTGTCATTATCGATTGAGGCTCGTATCTTCTAGTCACTGAGGTGTGCTATGACATTATTATGATTTATTAGTGACTGCAGTCCCTTTATGGCTGCTTCCTCCATTCTTTGTGTACTACTTTTCAGTCTCGTGTCTCTGGTCATGCTCTTGCAGAGTCTGGTTTCTGGTCTTTTCGTCCTCTCCGTGTCATCTATTTTATGATGTATGCCCTGTGATGCATGGAACGCTTATGTATGAGGTAACAAGTTATTTATTACTCATTATCATAACAGGTTACACTCAAGGCTACTTGAAGGACTCCTCGATAATAGGGACTCCGGTGATCTTGAGTCTAACCTTTATACGGGGTCAGGTGCAGGCGATAAAACCGAACGCGTCACTCTAAGCCATGTCGCCGCTGGCAGGGGGGATCACCCTGACTACTCGACTGTGTGACAAAGGCTGCTTGTAAGTTCACTCCTAATTTTCATAAAACTTTCCAAAATTATGCGTGACAGCCTGCCAGTCCACCAGCCCACCGCACTCGGCCCGGGGAGGGACATCAAACCAGGCTCTGGAACAGTGGGGCCGCGATAAAAATGGCGTCGTTGCCGGGGACTAAAAAATCTTGAGTCCCTGGGAGCGGACCTTGGTCACAATATTCAGTGACTAGGCAGCAATCTAATATTTCGTACAAGGTCTGGCTCAGGTCAGAAAGACTATTCGGCTAGAGGAACCCTGAGAGGAGGGGCCTCTTGCAAAAGTCTATCTGAAGTGACTCAGACGTGCAAGCAAGGGTTTGGAATTTGTTTTCTGGACCCTTTGCTTGACAAGTCTATAAGTCAAAAACCAGATGATGAATGAAGAGTATAATGTCCTAGAAGTCCTAACTCGTGTCTCCTGCGGTGGTGCCTTCCCTTATATGTTTGTCAAATGCATGTGCTTGTCTCTAGATTCCTTGACACTGATGATTATGATATACGACCCTACATCCTAGAAGAGACTGATCGGGATCCGAGTTTCTTTACCAACTGGGATGTTATAGTGGAGTGTGTCAAAGCCGAGAGGGATCAGTTGAGACAGCAAGGGATAAAAGCGAGTTGGAGCTTACTGCCTAGGAGTTATGAGAAGATTTTTATCCCGCCAGTACCCAAAAGATTCTGCGATGGTAGGAACTGGCAGCCAATCATCAATGCGGCGCTGAGGAGGCAGAGTTGGTAGGCAACCCATGTCGGCAGTAACAAGAGCGATAGAGGCACTGACCAGGATCACTGCTGGTGGTGCTTTCCCATACGTCATTGAGAGGTGTATGACTTGTGAGCCCGACTCAGTGATTCTATACGTCCTTGTAGTCCGTTTCCTTGATACAAATGAGTATGATGTAAGGCCATACGTATTTGCTGGAACAAGGAGAGGGATTGATTATGAGGTGTGTTGGGTAGTTGTTGCTAAGTATATCTTAGATGAAAGGTTGTTGTTGAAACAACAAGGAAAAAAATTGACGTGGAGTGTCCTACCTAGAAAATTTGAGAGATTCCCAAGTCCTCCTGTGCCTGCTAGCTTCTGCGACGGGAAGGACTGGGGTCCAATCCTCAACGCGGTATTAAGGGATCGAGTGTGGTGATCTATGCCGATCGATGTCTACACTTCTGATGATGGAGAGAGTTTCTGCTTTGAGGTCTATCTAGACGAACGACAAGCGACTTTCATCGGGGCTGTGAGAGGATGCGACACTAGGCTAGGTAGGCACGACGAGATTGGCATGGTAGAGCACTACCTCGAGCATATGCGAGCGGCTGTTTTTAGAGCAATTACGGGTCAGACTAAGATTAGGCATCTACTGGATTGCAAGAGCTCGGATGGCAGGAGAGTGATGCTACATGTGAGAGACGAGACCATCCTATCTAGACAGTGTTCTGCGGACAGTCTGTCTGGAGGTGTTAGAAGTGGCCCAAGACAATGATACTGGAATGCGAAAACTTTATTTCAATTGCGACTGTGACCATTGGTAGAGGATGGTTAGATAAAGTAACTGAGACTGACAGTCCATTCGAGATATTGAGACACGACGTCTGTAAGGAAGAGCGTTTAGTATTTTATATTCCAGTAGTCAGATTTCTTCAGACCGACGAGCTTCACGTGAAGGTTTATGCTTAGGAATGAGTAAAAGAGGAAGAAGGTTATTCAGAGTGTCTGAGGAGAGTGTCCATTCACCTTTCAAGGGTAAGGGAGTTACTTCAAAGCTTGCATGAGAGAGTGACTTGGGGAAAACGAGTCAGGCAATTTGAAAGACTCCCTAGTTTTCTGACTATGGATAGCTTCACTTACAGGAGAGACTGGGCACCTCTTCTAGAAGCTATTGCTGTGGTTGGTAAGGGAAGAGAGAATGACTTAGTCATGTGACCAAAGACGCTGTTTCTTGAAACCTTTGTACGTAGGTTCAAAGTTCAAGACGAAGCTTCTCCTGAGTTTTCCCTCACTTGACAATGGAAAGGAGCGTGTTATGGCTGAGAGGCATGTTAGTTTTCCAGGAAGCAGGCATACTTGGGAGAAGGCTGAAGGAAAGGAATTACCAGACATTAATTCTTCAGTCATACTCCGGGATTTAAAACCCTTCACGGTAGGAGGGGCGTTTCCTTATGAGATTGAGAGATATACTATCTTAGCTATAGCTGAAGCGGAGGAGAAGGTGTACGTATTAGTAACTCACTTCGTAGAGACCGATGAGTACGACGTGTGAATATACAGTCCAGTGACTAGGAAGATCTGGCGGCGGTATACTGGGTGTCACGAGTGGGCACTCAATCACGTCTGCAAATACAGGAACGAACTCAAGAAGGAAGGTAAGAAAGTTACCTGGAGTGTGGAGCCTACTGAGTATGAAAATTTCCCAAGTCCTCCCATTCTGAATAGCTTCGTCAACGGTGAGGACTAGGAGTCTATCCTTAATGCTATTTTGAGAGATAGGAAGTGGAGCACTGTCAACATTGACGATTCAGGTCGGAAGACTTAGTAGGCACTGGATGAGATTAGACGGATCGAAGATAAAGATGGATCATGGGGGTCACTAGGGGCTAGGCAATGTCTGGATACTGCCCAAGGATCACGGCGGCACTAGACGCCTTAGTTCCTTTTACTAGTGGGGGAGTTTTTCCCTACAAGATAGAGCGTTGCATATCCCTGGAGGAAAAGCATGCACCTAGGAAGGCGTATGTCCTTGTAGAGAAGTTCCTTGACACTGGTGAATAGGATATCCGGCCCTACGTTCCCTCATTGAGAGAGAGAGGGTCAGATCGTGAGCCTCTTCGAAGTTGGATTAGTAATATAGTTAACCAAGAGAAGAGGAAATTAGAAAGACAAGGATAAGAGTAGTTAGTGACTTAACACCGATTGTGTTTGATAGGTTTCCTGAGCTCCATCTGCCCGAAAGTTTTACTGACAACAGGAACTGGGAACCAATTTTAAACGCAATCATAGGAGAGAAAAGGTTCAGGAAGAAGTAGAAGCGTAATCAAGAAACTAGACAGGATGGTCAAAGGACCAAATGCACGGCAGAGCCGTGCTAGCTCCTCTGTTAGGGATGGAGAAGTGACTACTACCGTGGTTCTTCGAGAGATGTTGAACCGAATAGAGGTCATGAAGACCGGGATGGACACTATGAATGTTCGTCTAGACCTTCCAAGGGCTAAGGTACCTCCAGAGAACATACCCTGCTTTGATGGAACCAAGGTTAGAGAATTCCTGAAAGACTATGATGTCTTCGGTATGAGTCATGGTTGGTCGGACAAGCAGAAGTTGAAAGCTCTGCTGGCCTATGTTGAGCCAAAGATGAGGGTGTCGGTGACAAAGACGATACAAGGGATGACAACATGGGTCGAGGTTAGGCAAAAGATGCTGGAAGAGTACGCCAAGTATGACGTCCCAACAACTATGCAAAATTTGTTGGATGTACGATGCTCCAAGTACGCTACCCTCGATCAATTCCTAGGGGATTTTGAGAGGGTTGCGCGAAGAGTACCCTTTCTAGACGAGGCACAAAAATGTCATGTCCCGCTAACTAATTTTGCAGAGGATGAAAGGAAGAGTGTGGTAAATCTTGCTGCCCATTATCCACTAAAATGGGATGAAGTGGTTGAGATGGTCCATGAGCTGCCTTCCGTGTCCAACAGAAAATAGTCTTTGGAACAGATGAAAGCAATCACTAGTGCAAAAGAGAGAAATGTTGAGGCAACTGCGGGAGAAAACTTGAAGGCCGAGCAGATCCTTGGTCTTCTCGTTAAGTTTGGTAGCTTCGAAAATTTAATCCTTCCTGCCCCAGCAACTCAAGCACTTGTTGGAGCCAAAGAAGGTAAGGAAGAAAGAAAGAAGGAGAAGCAAAAGGAAGAAAGTGAAAGTGAGAGTGAAAGAAATGACGACGATGATGCTAGGCAAAGGAGAAAGGAAAGAAGGAAGAAATGGGAAAAGAAGTGTGATCGGGATTGGAAGAAAGATAATAAGAGCCGAGATTGGCAAAGAAGAGATGACCCTTTCCGATGTTATTATTGTAAGGAGGAAGACCATACTCTAACCCGGTGTCCGACGTTAGAAAAAGAGCTTGAAGAAGGGATTGTCAAGAAAAACACCAATGAGCACATTTGTGATGTCAATTGGAACAAGATAGACTTCCGAGTCAAAGGAGGGATGTGAGCGGTAATCCTAGAAAAGGCTAAGGCCAATAAGGATAAAAAGAAGAAGGCTAGGGTTAATGTTGTCACCTTTGACGGTATGCTACCTCCGGAGATAGTGGCTCGAGACGACAATCCTGGAAACCAAAACCTGAATGTATCCTATATCAGTCAAAGAGAGATTGAAGAGAAAAAACAGGAGAACGCTAAAAGAGAGCTAGACCAGCTGATTGATAGGACCAAGGACCTAGTGAAGGAAGGGAAAGGAAAGGAAGCTGTCGGGAAAAAGAGGAAGGTGCTCTTGAGATCCGAGGCCGAGGAGGGTGTCTCGATAGATGAAGTAGTCAATAAACTACTTGAAGAAACCGAGATCACCCTATCCTGGAAGGAGGCGGTGGACTTGGTGCCAAAGTTTAGGGAAGAGCTCAAAAAGATGGCTGAGAGGCGGAAGGTCGAAGTCAATAGTTTAAGACTCTTCCCCGAGCATGTGGAAAGAGCCCCGCCTGGTACCAAGATGAGGTTTGGTAACATGTCGTGTGGGTATTTGAATATCTCCGTAAACGACGTGAAGGTTAAAACCCTAGTGGACTCTAAG